CCGCTCCGCCCGCTGCCCCCCAGGGAGCCGGCCGGCCGCTACGAAACCTCCCCTGCGGGGACCAAGCGCGTCCGAAACCCCGGACCTTAAAAACACGGTGATTTTATAGACAGAGCCCCAAATACAGCTGTACCGCGGAGACACAAAAGCTGCTGTAGTGAACGTGATCCCTATGCTGCTGCTGCTGCCAGAGAAAGAAGCGCTGCCCGCGGGGCTCGGTCTCCAGCCAGTCCTGGAAAGGGCGGTTTATCCGACGGAGGCCATGATCACGTCCACGGGGAGCTCCTCGCTGCTGCGGGCAGTGACCTGCATCGTCACGGTGTCGGTCAGGACGAGACGAGACCGTACCAGGAGGTCGTGGCCACCCCGGAACACACCTGGAAGGGAGAATGGGAGGAAGGAGCGAGCGCCCCACAGGCCGCCCTCCCCTTACAAGCCTAAAATGAACGCCCCTGCTTGGCAAGGACAGGGTTTCCCAGTGTAGTCTGGCAAATCCCCAGCACTGGGCCAGGAGAGTCCCTCGCGCAGCACATTTCTCATTCATCGTAATGTACCTGGGGCTCTTGCTACTCTAAAACTCATGAAAGCAAAGTGTAAAATAAACTCCAGCTGAGAAGAGATCCAGGCGTTCCTTCAGTGACTGCCAGTCACTCCTCAAGAGCTCCAGCATGCATCCATTTTGCTGGGCAAGGGCGCTGTACTTCCCCCCCACAGGCTCGCTCCAAACTGGGGTGCCACAGAACACAAAGACAGCCAACTCCACCCAGCTGAGCCTGGGGCCGATCCAAACATCCCCCCTCCACAGCACCCTCCCTGATCCCAACCCCAGCTGCTCTGTGCTTGCAGAGACAGAAACCATGGCAGGGACAAGCCTCCAAATCCTACCCGGAGGCGCAGTGGGCTCCATCAGAAACTCCCGCCCTGATTTTCAACAGGCTGCTCTGTGCAACCTCCCAAAGAGCTGCTACTCGAGCAGAGACCAGAGCTCACCTGCCAGGTACAGCGTGTGAGAGTTCTTGTTATCTGGCACTTTATCTGATCGCTCACAGGGCTGCATCCCCAGGAACTTCACGATATTACCAACTGCCTCTGTTAAAACAAAATAAATAAAATGGGCTCCCTGTCAGGGTGTCTTGACAAGGACACACAAAAGGCATCTAAAGGTGACTCAAGCCCTCCCTGCATGCTAGGGTTCCTTGTCCCGAGGGACACACAGCATTGGCCAGTATTGTGATTTTAGAGGCCACCGGGGAGGCAAAGGCAGCACACAAAAACCCCACTGCCACACAGTTCTGTTTATCTGATAAAGCAAAGGTGCAGCAGAAACAGGCGGGAGAATGAGTCAGACAACGGAAGTAGGAGAGTGCAGCTGGCTGCACGCTTACTGTGCAAGCCTGACAGCCAGCTTGCTTCTCCGGGGACAGATGCAGAGGGGAAGGAGACACCTTGCAGGTCTTCAGGAGGAATGGGGAAAGGCCTCAGGGAAGGTATTTCAAGCCCAAGGCGCTGTGCAAGGAAGCAGAGATAGCTATAGGACAAGGGCAAATTTTTACAGGCTTCTCAGGAACAACAAAAGGAGTCTTCAATACATGATGAAAGAGAAGGGGGCTTACACCACAAGCCTGCCCACTAACCTCACGTCTTCTGCTTTATGCATCTATTTTATCGGTCTTGAGTTCCAAGGTCAGAGCATCTCCTCCTTTCACAGAAGGGAAGTGGGAGCTCACAGCTGAACTATGGTCTGTCTGCTTAGGAGGGTAGAGTGCGAGAGCAAAGCAAGATGTTTGCTTGCCTTCTGCAATCCAGCCTGCTCTCCGCAGGGCCCGGAACACTCATTTGGCTTTTTTTGAAACCTCAACTAACTTGTTATCACAGTAACTGTAGCTCCACATTTATCAGCTACGGTGAAACTACTTGTGAAGGGCTGTTAGCCCTTTTTTTTTTATGAGAATGAGAAATGATAAAAAACCCCCTCAATACCCCATTAGCCTTTCTGTGAGAGATCCAGTGAGCCAGACTGCGCCTCTGAACTTTGCTTGTTGGAGAGAGAAAAATGCTAAGAGCTCTTCTGGGGTCAGGTACCCCCTTACCTTCAAGGGTTTTAATAGCGGATAAAGTAAAGGTTTCTTCCTTTTCATATTCATCACCCACTTCATCCCAAGCTGCTCCAAAGTTTGGCTTCAGAACTCGCTGGATGTGATCAGCCACCGTTACCTCCAGGTCTTCAAGCTGGTGGTAGAAGAGATTCAAATGAAACATGGTTGTTCCTAACTCTGCTCTCTCCAGAGGGAGCTTTAGACTGGATTCCCTCAGATCAGGTGAGTGTAGGAGACAACATCCACTTTCACTCGTGAATATGTCAGAGCAAGCCCTCCCCTTCTGGTTTGGTTGAGCAACTGCTTGGCCTGGGAAAGCCACTGGTCATGCCATTTCCAGGCCCATTCTGAGTACAGCCCTTGGCCTGACAGAGATCAAAACACTGGACAAATGTCCAAAACAAAGGACAAAAGCTAAGAAACAGCTGCCTGTGCTCACACAGTTGCAGGATTTGCTTCCCTGGAATGCACATAAACTTTTATCTTGCCTTTCTGGCCCATCATTTTGCAGGCTGGTAAAGTACACTGAGACACTGTCAGACACTTGCTATCACCTAATGGTGTCTGCCGGGTTAGCTGAACTGCAACTACATCTGTGCAAGGCAGAAGTGGGCTTGTCCCTCCAGAGCATGTATTAAAGAGCAGTCAGTGCCAGATCTGGCTAGATACCAGCCTGCATTCGTTTCAGCCATTGCTGCAGGAAAGAATCTCCTCCTGATTCTAGTTGAAACACATGGAAGAGTTTGTGTCAACATCACTCAAATGCCCTGGTGACTGGTGGGAAGCAGAGAGAACGGTTAACTTGCATGTTCCTTTGGGAAAAACCCTCCCTGCTCCTTCTGGGAGGATGCTGTGTCCTCAGTGACTCACTGCACAGCAGTGCTTCTAATCAGATTCGCAGCAGTGACAGGCAACACATAGAAAGCAGCTTTTGGAGCTAATGGGGCAAGCTGAGGTTGGGTCACAACATCCCTTCCTCTCTGGAGGGTGAACACCACCCTCTGCAAGCCAGTCCCAGGTCCTGACCAAGCATAACTTTAGCTTCTTCCTTTGTGGTACAACAGCCTTCCTGGAAATGGCAGAGCCTGGAAGAGAGGTGCTTCTGCAGCGTCAGTGCTTTCATCAGTCTCGATTCTGGGGAGGGAAAAGGCCCACTTCCCCCAGAGCAAGAACAAGGGCAGCAATCTACAAGGCAATTAACTGTGGCATCAGGGAGAGCAACTCATGGACAATAAAAAATGTCCAACAGTCCTGTCTCCACGAACCTGACTGTGCAACTGCTGGAGCCCATAGGGCACAGCCAGCCAAGCCTGGAAGACACACTGTGGCCTCCCAAAACATAAGTACCCTGCACAGTCAGGTGTCTGCCTGGAGAGTAATAGGAGGATACTCCAAATATGACAAAGCAAGCTCTCCAAACCCACATTTGCATCCTGGGACAGACACCACAGAGGCAGCAAGAACCCGCTCTTCACGCAGTGCTGCCCACATCAGCATCAGTGGCCATATAGTTGCTTGCAGGGATCTGAGTACAGATCACAAAAACCCTCAAAACAACTGCAGTTTACCCAGTTGGGTGCACACCCAGCTCCTTACCACATACTCATCCTCGTAACCCTCGTCGTCTGTCTCCCCCGTGTTTGGATCACAGTCCTTGACAGTGAACTTCATCATGCAGCTGAAGGTACAGGCCACTGGAGGCGGGGGAGGCAAAGGCAAAGCTCACATTACCACCAGATCTGCAATCCTCTGCAGCAGAACGGGGCTGGAAACTTGGGGCAGTCTCCCCATCACCGTCATCAGCACAGTCTTAGCCAGTGACCTACCTCTCTGACAGTTTCTGCCTCTCAAGGACAAGGTATTTATTTGTAACATTAAGGCTAGCAAACAGTGATAAAGACAGGCTCACGATGGTTGTACAAGACCATAACCCTCAGAGGAAGTGCTATTACTGATGAACTTCAGGTCATGTTGAGAATACTAGCGCCTTGTGAAGCGGCAAGATCCTTATCTAGACATCGGTTCGTTCACGTGCATCTGAAGTGAAACCACCTTGCACTGCAACATGGCAGCTGATTAATACCACTCGGCTGGGAGAGGAAGCAATCACTCATCCCCGAGACGATGGGCACTGCTGGGAGAATGGCAGCAACACACACAGGTGAGCAGTCCCAGAACATAAACCACTCACAGCACTTTACAAGTACCAGCCTCCCCACATACCAATAGAAAGAACAGACAGGCTAGAGGACACACCAGGGTGCACGGGAGACAACTCAGCAGAGAGCAGAATGCTCATCTGCTGGCTCTCAGCCTGACTCAACAGCACAGGGGAACCAGGAGGGGAGAAGGGAGGCCTGACAGCCCCCAAACAGCAAAGAGAAGTCACGCTCAGCATCACTCAGGGCTGCACCCACACACAGGCTATAAATATCTGGCTAGGATGCAAGGTAGATATGTGTGGGGGCGAGCAATACGGTACGCTTAATTTGGGGGATGTCAGGAAAATGGAGGGCAAACTGTTTACCTGCTGTTGGATCCTCTTCAGACAGTGCCACCAGTGTGTAGCAGGTACCCGGCTGGTTGTACACCAGGGTTTTGGCAGGTATGCAGCCAATGACCTCATACCCCTCTGTTGGCTCCATCTGCACCGTGACATTCTCCAGAATCTGATCATTCAGGGTGTTCGTGCAGTCAAACTAAACAGGGAAAGGGAAAGCAGCAACAGCTTGAAGCTGCTCGCTCTAGTTCTAATAGCAGACTCACTTTAGGCAGAGTGGGAGAATGGTGTCAACTTGTGAACCCCTAACTCTCCGTGTTTCAACAGTGCACCTCACTATCAGCTGGCTAATCATAGGGCTCATGCATTCCCATTTAAGTCACAGAGCAACTGCAGCTAAAAACTACTCATTTAAATTCTTTAGGGGAGAAACTGAAACCCTGCAGGGGACTCCAATGCTCCAGCAAACTTTTTACTTTTTTTAAGGAAACAGCACTTAAAATGAACCAGCACACAACTATCCAATGCCTGTCCTCTGCAACCCAGGCAGGAGCACAAATTCAGCAAGGGCAGGGATGTGTCAGCTCCTGCCTGTTTCAGTTCACCAGTTTGGAACTTTTTCCACTAGGTGTACTGTGTACTTTGTCCTTTCTCCCTGGATGGTAATTCCCAGGTTAACTCTTTGCTGTATGGAAATATGAGTACTGTGTTGCCTACGTCTTCTCACTTGATGTTACAGAGCCCCACAGCAGATGGGAAGACAATCCTTTGCATGGCTCAAACTAGGGATAGTTTGAGCAAGTTTCAGCAAGCTTGATGGTTTCAAACAAGTCTAAACATGCTGATTAGATTTGGTTCCAGCTGTAATGACAAGTCACTTAACCTCGTACAACTGCATCTGGTGGATGGACAACAGAAACAAACATCAACCCCTACGAGGGCTGTATAAGCAGTTCCGGGCTTTTGAGGAAGGGGCTGGCTAAGGACAAAACACTGCTGCTCATAAGCTAGCGTAGGACTCGCTGTGCCTTGAACTCCAAGGCCCAGGCAGAGATGCTGGCACATTAATCCCAACATCTCACATGCAGCAGCAGGGTGGTACAGCCAAGGCCAAGGCGTACAGAAAAAAGAACCTGTACTACACAGGCTAAAACAAAATGTAGGGGGATGAAGAGCTCTCCCCCACCACATCCCTTTCTTGGGTACCCTTTTCAGCCTCTCACATATAGTAAGCTTCACTCTTTTATGCCCAAACCACATGCTTGGGGACCCTGAGGAAAGAACACAGCTTCTCTTGCCAACTGCTCAGTGAGAATAGCTCCATCTAGTGCTTGTTTGATTTATTTTGACTGTATGTGTAAGCATTGTTCAGACACACACATGCGCTCTCTAATTCATTTTTTCTAGGGCTCTACTGCCCTGGATGAGAAACTAAGGACACCTCACTGCAATGATGTGCTCTGAGCACAGATATCCCTGAGCTATTTCTTCCCACTGGAGCTTTTAACCAGTCAGGAGCTTATTTTCCAATCTGCTTTCAGCACCACATGCCAAAGCTACCCACCTGGAACACCATGTGGCTGACAAACGTGTGCTTGGTGCAACGAACCACATACTCCGTTTCCAGCTCTGTCAGGGCGACAGGCTCTGGGGAAGACTTGAAGAGCGGGCCCAGTCCCCGAAACTCTGGGATTGCCCCCAGTTGCTCTGAAACAGAGGACACAGAAACCATTGCCTTCATCAACACACAGGAAGGTGTTAGTAGCTTCAAAGCCCTCGTTTAAGTTGGCAGAAGCTGCTGCAGCAAGGAAATATCCAAACATCCATAAACATTCACTAGGAACTTTTAAAATTAAAGACAGTCATCCTTTGCCCACGTCTATTGCAAGACAGAAAGAACAGGACTGCAGCCACCCCCACCCCCCAGGAGTGAACAGCTGACTTAAAGTTAAGAGCCCATGTCACCCTCTGAAAGGAGATGGGAAAAAGCCAGAGAGGCTAAGGCAGGCTCAGCAAGTGGTGGGTATATTGTTCTCACACACAGGCATAGGAGAGGCCTTGCATCAGTTTACCTTGGAATATTTCTTGCCGTGTTGCTGCCACCTTGTCTGGCTGTTTGACTACAGCAACAGGGACATTTTCTACAAAAGAAAAAGAAAAAAACAAACAAAAAACCCAAAAGATTTGAAGGTGGAGAGCAAGAAGTAACTAAATCAGGAAATAGATCAATGTCTGGAGAGGGATTTTACTAAGGAAAGGAAGGGAGCTCATTTCTCATCTTGCTACAGACTAGACACCTGTATTCAGCTTCCTAAACACCTCTGGAGCTGCAGCAGCTCCAGTGAGGATTACCAGCTATTACTATTATTAGCAGTTAGACTAAACCAAAACACTGATGTGGGAGCAATGAGATTTGCTGGCCTTAGTCTTTACAGAAGATGTAATCCCACAAAATTCAAATAGGATGGAGCTCAGCAATTCCCAGGAAGCCCAGTTCAGTCTGCTGCCTGAGGGGCTGGAGCTGCAAGGGAATGACTAGCACTTTGGACCAGCATACAGGGGACTGTTCCTCACCTGCTCTTTGCTCGATGATAGGAGCTGTTGCCAAAGGAACAGATTTCAAGTCAAAGGGTTTCTCAGAGGGCTCCAGAGTGTACTGATGCAGAGCCCTCTCCAGGCCAGGGATGGACACTGTCAAACCTGGGGACAGAAGGGACAGCTCACTGAAACCACAGATAATGCCAGCTCTTTGTCACTTGTTAAACCAGGAAAGAGGTATAGACTTGTTTTGAGGACTTCCTGCATTACCATTCAGGATGTAGCCAGCATTAAGGGCTTTCTGCTTCTGCTCCAGAACATTCAGGTAGAAGGTGGCTCTGTCTCTCACTTCGTTGTCATCATCCATCACACACCTGAGAGGAAAGTGGCAAACTTTCTTCACTGCAAGGCAGCAGAGTCCACACAAATAAATGCAGGTGACTAAGCCACCTTACAGGGCCAGAAAGAACAGGCCATAGGAGACAATCAGTCTAGTCTGATACTAGTAATTGTATTAGAAAAACAATCATCCACCACACTTGGCTTCTGACCAGTTTGTGGTGCTAAATGCAGTGGTGATCCCATCACAGGATCCCAGATACCCACCGCACCTTCTCAGATCTGCAGCTAGAGAGACTAGACATGCATGGGAATGCTAGCAAGCTCTCAGGCAAACAGAGTTTTTCACCCAGGACGTTGAGAAACTCTGAGGTACAACTCACCTTTTCAGTAAGACCAAGATACTGGGTAACATCTCCTCATTCTGGGCTCCGAACTTGGCCAGGGCACTTACAGCACCTGTAGCACAAGTCATGAAAACAGAATTAGAAAGCAAATAAATCACCTGAAGTTTCCTCCATTTCCTGGCCTTGTTCAAATGCCACATCAGAGACACTAGCACTAGTATAAAGCATTACTGTGACTAGAAAGAGGCAGATTTATTACAGCAAAGTGCCTGCAAACCTCTTCTCATCTAGTTTCAGAGTCACTGCATCTCACTCCCCATTTCTCAGCTGAAGGCCACCTCTTCCATCAGTACTACTGCAGGATCTTTGCTGTGTAAAAAGATCTGCTCCAGACTAGAGTGAATCACAATCCTCAAAAGCAGAGGTGTTCAAGCAGCATGTCTCCTTGAGAATCTGTCATAGGGCAGACAGTTTTCCAGGTCTGTCTCTTACCTGCCCGGACTTCTTCATGCTCCAGGACGACCCTGTTGTAGATGAATCGAATGTATTTGGAGGGGTTGTTGGTTTTGGGCCCCTCCTGCCCCAAGAGGTGGAGGATACGAGTGGCCAGCACAGTGAACTCGCAGTCCTCAATGAATTCACAGAGGTGAGACAGGCCTGTCTCTTTGCTCTCCGAGTTCTCCTCAATGATGCTGATGATGCAGTCCACAATGGCTCGCTTGTATTCAAAGCCACCCTAGGGAGCAAAGGGAACTGCTCAGCTGGAAATCTCAAAGTATTTTAGAGACTCTGAACTAGCCAGACAGGAAATAATTTCCTTCAAAAAAGTCACTCACACTCAGTGCTTTTAATCTGTGTTTGAAAGGAGAAGGGCAGTAACGCTCCCCCCACTTTTTGACGCTCTTTACACCCAGAGGGACAGCTAATATTCAAGCTCTCTTGCCAGCTCCCTTCAGAACGACTGCAGTGAGCTAAAAAACAAGTCCTAAAGAGGGTAAAAGAACCATCCGCCTCAAGGGTTTAAATCTCCTTCAAAATCCTCTGCTGCTAGAATTAGTGCATAAAGACAGCCATATGGGAGGAGGAAAAACCCAACCCTCTCCCCTTTAGCACCAGACATCTGAGGATGAATCACAAGAAAAATATATTAAGGATCATATCTGCCACAGCAGGACCCAGCAAATAGCCCCATTAGTGTGGGAAGACAGGCAATCAATACCTCCCCAGGCACACCCCATAACCAAGCGTTATCGGCATGCCAGGTTATCTGCAGACATTATTTACTAGTGTCCTCAGTACACGCCAGGGGATTAAACTGCACACTATCCTCTGCCAATTACATGCACAGTGCTGGGCATTTGGGGGATCTTTCTGGAGCTACTTTAGATTAAAAAAAGCTTTAAAACAGAATGGTTTGAACTACAAAACCACACTCAAAATGATACCACCCACCCACAGAAAATCTGGGAAAGGAGGATGGTCCATTTTTCACAGGAGCAAAATGAGATGCTCTGGTTTGTTGCAAAATGAGAGGCTGTAATTGGTAGAAAGCGATGTCAGAGCAAGCAGTGGTGCCAGCTGTGTTGCAGGCATGTTAGCCTGCAACAGAAACGGCCTCAGCAAGCCTCTGTGAAGCTGTCTTTCTGCAATTTATGTCTGACTGAATGCAGAGAATGGTTATAGGTACTCGTGATCCCTTCACTCCCACAGCACAAAGAACAGAACAAAAGTGGTCCCATGTCATCAATAAATAGTTTGTTATCGAATCTTTGTGTACAAGACAAAACTTCTTGGAATTTGCTGTCAAAGTATAAAAGAAAGCTGGTTCAAATGTGAAACACACATGGACTGCCAGCAAATCTGCTGTTGCCTGCATTTGCTTTGAGAGATAATAAACCCCCAGAAAAATCAAAGAATGAAAGCCACATTAAAAATATGCCTGGCAGTATGCGTATAACTATTGTGCACAGCTGGCCATTTCTGCCAGTCAGACTGCAAGCCTTTTAGAGAGAGGCTCTTACTGCACAGCATTATCAGTAGAAGCTCGACTCCCACCAGGGCCACTGTGCAGTCCTGCAGTTCATGCATACAAACAAGGAACACAACATAGTTGTCCTGCAAACTTACCTCTTCCCGAAGCATAGTGAAGAGAAAGTTCATCAGGACGGCATGTTTGCGAGGGTACTTCTGACACAGTGCATTGATGGCCTGCACCACTACAACCTGAAGGAAAAGGGAGGCAAGTGAAAAAGGATTCTGTCTCTCCAGGCAGGAAAAAATAGTTGAATTCTGTCAATTTTGTGCTGGTCCCTAGCCTGGAAACTACTGTTTTGCCTTTACTTATCCAACAAATGCTGTTCCAGGAAGTACAATCCTAGGAATTGGAGGAAATTGATTTTTATGCACTGGCCAGCCCCTAGCAAAAGCCCACACCCACTGGAAAGAAGAAGAGGAGATTTCATTCCCAAACAGCATCTCCCCAGAGGAGAACATGTGACTTTGGAGCTGGATGCTGTAGGACCAAGGCACGGCTTAGGCAGACAGCCTCAGATTCTTTCTCTTCCCTGCAAATACTCCGCAGCCCAGCTCCTGGAAGGAGCTCCATGCAGGTTTCAGAGTGCACACACAAACATGGACAAAGACCAAGTGGTTTCTTCAGGAACCTGCATGCCTCTCCTCCCCCAGCTTCCTTACTTTGAACTCATCTGAGATTTCTGACATGAAGGAGGAGATCTGCTTCATGAGCCGGTCAATGCTGCTCTCACTGCCGGTTTTCAGCAGGGTGGTGATGGCCAGGGTGGCTATGCTGCGGTTGGAGTCTGTCACAAGGTTCTCCAGGTCTAGATTACAGGCAGTCACAGCAGATGGGTGCTTCATGGCCACCTAGAGCAGAGAAGGAAGAGTGGAAATCACTCAATAGATGCAAAGGGCCCAGCAGGCAAAACCTACCAAGTCTCTACAAGCTCTCACTCCCTCCTGTAAAAATAAATGCTACAGACTGTACATGAGGGTCATCTCAGAGAAACATCTCAGGTTAAAGTAACAAGCTCTTTCTTCCTGCAGAATTGCATCTCTTGCTAGAAGAGAATCAGTAGCAATAAATCATCTTTTACTATTTTTAACTCTCTCATTCTCCTCTATGTATTAAGAAAGCTCTGAACTCCCAACAAAAATTCAGCGAGCCTAGCTGTGCTTTGTGGGTGGAAGCACAGCAGTTACCAGACACTGCCATTCTCTCTTTTACTTTTTTAGAGTTTACAAGGTCAAGGGAAAAGCTGGTTCAAAGATTGCCACGGAGCAGGCAAGAAGCAGCATCAAGGTTTGATCCCTGTTTTACAAGGAGCTCCTTCACCACGGGAAGCTCAGAAGGGACAGCAGTAACACATAAGACCAGTGACACTCTTACAGAGATAGGTGAAAATGATTGCTTTTTTTTTCCCTTCTGTAAAGTGTTCTTTGAGGTTTTATTCCACTCAAAAAGCAATGAAATGTAAGGCTGTAGCCCAGGGTAGAGGTTATTCACACAAAGTCATCACATAATCTGCCCCCCTGTCTCTTCCAAAGCCTGCACCTCCCTGCACATGAGAAACTATTACAGCTCCCAAGAGACTGGCTCCTACCTTGTTGAGGGTACGGACAGCTGCATATCTCAGTGCTGCTTTTGGGGAGCTGCAGAACAGCTGCAAAACTGCAAGGCAGGAAAACCAAAGGCAGACATTTAGGCAACCTATTAGTAAGAAGTGTTTCATACCTAAAGCAAAAGCTTCAATGAAGACACAGCTGCAAGCACAAGGTAACTAGAAGCATGCTTAAGAAGCAACTGTGAATTTACCAGCTTCCTCCCTCCCTGTTGTCCCCTTTGCCACACATCCCTGCTGACAACTAGCTCTTACCCACCTCCCTTTTTCCATGGTGCTGCCATCCTTCATTCCTCCTGAAAGCCAATTTCATCACCTTGTCATCTTTCCTATTAAGTCAATTTGAACTGCTGTTCTCCATTTCTACGCGAACCCTGTTCCTTTCCCAGGGCTGGCCCATGAAGGGCACCCTCCCTGTGCAGAGCAGTGACACACAGCCTCCCTACCTGCCAACAGTCCCAGCTCAGGAGAACTTCTGGACTGGACTGAGCTGGGAAAGCAGGACCCCAACACCTTGGCTTCTTGCACAGTTACACTCAATCTAAAGCAGGGAGATTTATCAGTTAGAATTCAGCCCTGTTTCATAAAAAAAGACCCCTACAGTAACGCACACTTGAACACACCAGACAAATACCTTTACAGGAGCAAAGCTATTCACACACACCACAGGCTCTCAGCAGCAGCATAAAGCAACAAAGGGTATGGCAGCATTACAAGCCTGAAACTACACAAGGTTCTTGTTTCTTAGGGTAATCAGCAGGTGTCACCATTGCAGGCCCATAATCCCCTCGCTATTGCCATGAGTGTCACATTTACCTGAGACAGCCGGAGCCAGCTCTTTGGCGGTGCAGTTGGGCAGGTTAACTATGGCAGATGCAGCTTCATAGACAACCATCTCGTGCTTGTTTCTTAGGCAGCTCTCGATGAAATCGAACAGGGGGCTATCACGGCTAAGGGACACAAAAACCCACAAGAATGAATGAAAACAAAGGTGCTAACAGAAATTAAGAACCTGACAGCAGAAATGGGCAGGTCCCATACCCCATGGAAAGTTAAAAGCAGCCATAAATCCACTGTCCCCAAATTTTACAGTGGTCATTATACAGTACTTCCAGCATGCTTGGGCTGGAAGTCAGGCTGCTTTCTGAGAAGACATTCTCACACACTGAGAGCTCACCATACACACCAAAGTCTTATCCACCTGGAAGCCACAGTGCATACGTTAGCCAAATAATTACAGAAGACAGAGAAAATGAGGCAGAATATCTCAGTGAGGAACAGCCATGCAAAACAGGCAAAAGCAGCAAGAAAGTACTCAGTGTGCAAGCACATACAAGATGCTTTCGTGTTACGGGATGGCTTCTGTGAGTTTTGGCTGTGTATTTTCTCTGCTGCCTTTTAACCAACAATAAGAGGGTAGAAGCTGTGTGCTGCTCTTCAAAGAGAGAAATAATCGCCCTCATGAGATGGCAACTGAGCCTGCAAGAGGAGATGGAAGCAGGATCTGAAGACATTCTTCCAGCAGGGCAAAGGAGCCCCCTCACCTGCCAGCCTCTTCCTCCAGCAGCTTGCTGGCTACTCGAATCATCATACAGTAAGCAAACGGTGACTTGAGGCCATGGCGTGTGAACTTGCTGAGCATCTTGTTGACTGCCAGGCGGTCATTCTTCCGCACGTGGTAGAGCAAGCCCAGAGCATGATACTGTGCAGCTGTGCCTGTGTTGGCAGTGGGTTTCCTACCTGCACCATGATATTGTCACTGGAAGCTGCCTCCTGAGCCTCATTCACCCAGCGTTTTACCACATCATAACTGGTCTTGAGGAGGTGCTGGGGGAGAGACAAAGCCACAGACAACGCGTGAGAGAAGGATGGAGGAAGCTTTGGGAATTACAGCTCATATGAATAAGTGGCAAGCCTTCCCTGCTGGTGGCAGCAACTTCTAGAAGAGCAGAGGATCAACATGCAGAGACCCGGCCATGATGGCTGTGGCCTCAAGAGGTCGACCATATCCCACAAAATCAGCACCAGTCCCTCAGTTCACAAAGAATGAAACCCTGAAACTCTCAAGATGTCCAATCCCACCACAGATCACTGCTTCCTAGTTTGACTATCACTCAGGCCCACCCTGTAGGGAGTACATACCAAGGAGGACACCAGAGCAGAGCTGGATACGCTTGGCACTTTGTCAACAATCGCCTGCTTCATGTAGCGCTCGATGGCCTGCAACATGGTACTCTGCAGGGAGAGGGAAACAACAGCCGATATAGAAAAGCCATCAGGAGTGTGAAAGGGGAGATGCAAAGGCATGAAAAGCAGAGTGAAAGGTGGGATGGGGTGAAGTAAGGAAAGGTGAAGGGCCTAGGACTGTCCCAAGGGAAAAGCAGCACTTACATCAGTGATTTGACAGAGCGCTCTCACAGCAGGGCCTCGGTAATTGTCATCCTTCCCAGTCATGTCTTTGGTTAAGCTGGTTGAAAACAGGAAGGTCTCAATACTGCACTCCTGAGCCAGCAGCTCTCAGGTGCAGGCACAGTGCATACAGAGCAGCAGGCACCCAGGATCGCAGCTGAATGCCAAGTAGGCAACTGCAGGTCTCAGGCAAGTCCCACCAGGGTGGGAAAGCAGGAGGAAAAGATCAGTACTTGGGTTCCAAGCCCATCAGCAGGCTGTACGAGCTCCTGATCACCACAGGAGGCAAACCCATCAGCAGGCTGTTCGAGCTCCTGATCACCACGGGAGGCTGGAGTGCAGACACATGACCCAGAGCCATTTTGCCTTCCTTACTAAAGGCTCATTCCTGCCCTTTCCCCAGGATCCCGGTCAGTGCAAGACCATCTATGAGGGGATGGGACCAGTTCATCACATTGCAGCACTTGGGACTGACTTCTGCCTGCTGCATGGCCTTGGCCCTCAGCAGACCCTACACTCTCACGCTCCTGTCTCCCGATACGGCACTGGCCTTTCAGTGGGATGAGCAGCAATTCAGGAATGACTCTCAGAGGGAATTTTGTTCCCCAGTGCCTGTGCTGCTACAGGAGCAGTAAATCCCTGCCTACCTGTTGAAAGTCTTGGGATTTATGCCAGAAATCTTCAAAAAGCTTCAAGGCATTCATACAGGAAAGTAGGATTTAATGAAACAGCCTTTTGCACAAGGGGAAAAAACACCAATCAAAAGAGACAATCCAAACACCCGTGGGCATGGGATATGGGCACACAGCACATTTCAGATACATCACTAGGAGTTCAGTGTCTGTATTTTAATGGCCTCTTTTAAAGGAAAAAATTTTCCTCACCAAGGGCATTCCCTGTCCTCACCCTGCTTAGGGACTACAGCTGTCTCCAAGAGGCTGGACAGGCACTACTGGAGGACACATGAATATAACAGTAAGAAAAGTGAAGTGACTGACCTGCTAGTAACAATGATTACATCTTCTGCAATAGAAGACATCTCTTTGATAGTCAGGTAACACATCCTGCGAAGAGTTGGCTGACAAGGAAAGTGGGAAGACAGACATCAGCTGAGAGGATCCCGGACAGGAAGGGATCCCAGTTTCCCCTGCTTCCATGATTTTATTGTGAATATCAGATAGCCGCGGTGCCTGAGTGTAAAAGATGTACCAAATCCGTATTGACTAACAAAACGCCTCTTTTTCTCTTCTAAATCCCTCAATCTTAGGGTGAAGCTGCAGAGATACCAGATTTAGCTGGATCTACAGTTTCATCTTTCAATTGTCATTCACATGAGCAAGGAGAGAAGCTTGAAATCATTAGCTGAAGGCATCTTGTTGCTTCAAAAGTAAGAAAGCAAGCAAATTATATTCCTGAGTCTAGGGATTTCTACACCGATTTTAATGCCTTGTGTTTTGGGGGACAACTAGTGACGGTACTACTGCTGTGGGCAGGTACTAATTCCTGTCCTCCTCCAGGTCTCACTGTTGTTGGCGCTCAGGAGGAAGCAGGATCTTTTAATGCTAAGCACAAAGCATAGTGGACTCCAGCTGATTATATGCTTGATCTGTGCCTAGTACAATCTCAAGAGTTAAACAGCAATTCAGAGGGAGGGAGCTCTGTCTCAGGAACAGAGAGTGCTTCAATTAGGCTGCTACGAGTTCTGGGAAGGGCTAGGAAGCCGATCTCTGTTTTTAAACTTTCCTCCTACTCTTCCCACTCAGATCAGGTAGCTCCAGGCAGGACGGAAAAGCTGGTTGTATAAAAAGGCACATCTCAAGGCTGAAAAAGACACTGTTGACAGCTTGTTCCACCAGATAAATACAGCAGAAAATGGCAAGCAGACTTACATCATTGGACTGAAACAGCTTGGTCATAGCAAAGAAGGATTCTGTAGCTTCCATGACACCAAGGTGCTCCCCCTAGAAGATGTTTAGAAAGAAGGAAGGAAATCCCAGTTACCACAGTCAGCTTTGGGCCTGCTGTGGGTGTCTTTGTAGAGGTGTCATTTTCTCTCTCTTACCTGGTTTATGAGATACAGGATCTTGGTGAGGATGTGAGCACATTTTCGTGGGTTTATGGGAGTCTCGTTAAACACCCGTGCCTGGAAACAAAACACAGACAAGGACGTTGAAACCAGCACACCCTCGGAAACACTGCCCTATCTGGTCTTGGTCACTGATACAAACAACAAATTGTGGGTGCAGTATGTCTTGATTCTTAATGACTTTGGCTCAGATTTCCCCTCAATTTCTGTTAAATATGGTCTCCTTTTAAACAGCTGGTTCTATGGTCTCATCCTGGGATCGCAAAGTCAAGTGCAATTAAGGTTTAAAGGCCAAATTGTCATCACACTTTCACCCACACAAGTCTGGATCATGTGCTAGCTAAAAGACTACTCCTCTGACAGATGTACGCTAGCTCTGCAAGACTAACGGGAGCCAACACCATTCACAACATTGCAAGCAAACAGATAAGGCTGAAACAACAGGGTCTGGGGATCGAGAAGTTTATCTGCTGTTGAATAGAAAGGCATTTTTTCAGAGCAAAATTATTTAATAATAATACTATTCAATAACCACTCACATCCTGCTCGTTAACTTTGTCATCTACAAGAAATTTGAGGTGTCCACGGCCAATTTCCCAACCATCCTGTTTTAGGGTCAGCTTTCTCAGAAAATTTTATTCATTTTATTACTCTTTGTAGTTCACAGTCTTTAATTTGTCACAGAGACCATTTCAGATTTCTCCCTTCCTCCCTCCAAGAATAAAAAAAGAACTAACAGGACTGTTGCCCATTTCTTTCAGAGCTAGCAGGACAGTAACAAACCCACACTTCCCTGCTGAAGTTCTCCAGTGACCTACTCAAGAGAGGGGTATGCAAAGGAGAGCGCCTGAGGATTTACCTCTTGCAAAACTGCACTCTTCTCCAGGTGCTGGAATGGGTTGGAACCCCCACCTGCAAAATAAAGAGAGTAAGAGTCTTTCCAGGGATAGTGCTATGGGAAAGCAACTTTCTAGCCATGCTCATGCTTTAAAAACAGACTGAGCATTTTGGGGTAACTTTTTCATGAACACCAAGCAACTAGAGCTCCCTCTTCTAAGCGATATTAATTGGATGTCTTCATAGCAGTTCAGGAGGGCAGAGCAGACAGGACATTCTTTGATTTGTCATCCCCCTGCCCCCGAAGCAACTAGCCATGAGCCAGGGTAAACTGATTAGCTGTAAAGTAACTGCGCTCCACTGTTATCCCCACAGACCTATTTCCAGCCCCTGGGCTGGGAGCTTGCTGACAGTTAGAGCATCAATAAGACAGGCCTAGAAACAAAAGCTCAGACAAAAAGAGGCATCGTTTGCCAGACTGGTGAGTCAGGAGTGCTTTATTTCTCCCTTATAGACCAATCAGGAATCCACCAGTAAAGTATTTTTGGCTCTATCACTAATTAAGAGAACAAGACAGCAGACTGGAGAGTCTGGACACAGAGTAACTTTCATTGTTCCACTTAATAGAATAAATTATATTAAATAATTAAAACCCTCACCAATTAAGGATGAAATAATCAGAGGGAAAAGCACTATCATTCTGCACCGTCTCTATTAGCTCGCCTCCTAAGCATTTGCAAGCTGCAGCTTTTCAAAAGCTGCCAGTTATTGATAAGCAGGTTTTAATTAGTACCTATGTTCAGCCTGGCCCTGGGACAAAACAAAGCCATTTCCAGTGCTGTTCCAATGTTTAACAAGCCTGATCCGCTAGAGAGCACAGCTCCCGGGCCCAGCTCCGATCTGACCTGGGCCTGAAGCATCCTACGCTGGCACCAGGAACCTTTGCAAGAGTTACTCTTAAACTTAAAGGCAAACACATCTGCACCCTGGCTCCTTCCCAGTTCATAAAGTGCCCTCCTCTGGCTCAGGAGAACTTTGCAGATGCAGCAGGTGGCCAAACAAAGCAGACAGTTATGCAGGGTTGGAGAGAGAAGAAAACATGGGGAAAGAACAAAACCAATGTCTCTGGTATGACTATGAACCAGTTCTAGTATGAGGATGTAAATGCATTCCAAAAAACTGTCCTAGCAGCACATTATTCCCCATGGTCCAGCGTGTCCACAATCCCTAAATCAGCCATCAACAACAGACCATTGCCTCTTCATCTGTCATAGCACTAAGGATCTTGAAATACATTGCACATGAGGTCTTGCTCCTGGCAGCACCCCACATCAAGTGTTTTTCCATCAGATGAGAAAAAGGCACAGGGAAGGCAGAGTCTGTGTGTTCAGAAAGCTCCTGGTATTGGATGACTAACAACAATTTGCACTGATTTGCAGAGAAACAGTCACTGACCGAGCAAGGATCTCAGAACAATGTTGTGCCCAAAATAACATCTCAAAGCATATTTCTGAGAGCCAGTGGAAGCAGCTCGTCCAAGACTACCTAAACCATCCATAAAGAGCAAAGAAACAGAAGCCAATTAAGCGAACACACTCATCTCCACAAAAAGACTGCCCTGTTAGCCTTTACATGGAAAGAATAGGTATAAAAGGCCTGTAAACTCAGGGATGATGTAGTCCACCTAAGACAGAGAATAACAAGCACTCGGGCTATACATTTTGGACATATACGCAATCCACAGGGGAAAGGCAGGTGGAGTAAATCCTAGGAGTCTTCATTCAAAACAGAAGCAATAGGATGAGAAGAAAAAATGTTGGGAAGCATGTGAGCAGCAGTGCCAGAAAGGAGAGCTCTGTGAGCTTTCAGTATGAACGAAATCAACAAGAGCCAGCATCACCATACAAGAAGTGCTTCTCCTGCCAGCCTTGGCCATAGGTAACACAATACCTTGAAGCACGCAGCAGGCACAAACGAAGAACAGCCCCAAGAACGAAAGGCAAGAGCGATTCCCCTCCAACAGTTGCCTCACTAAATTCTCCACTTATCAAGATGTCACTGGAGGCTTCAGACAAGGGAAACAAGGGCAAAGCATTTAATGCATATTAAAATAAAAAGCAAGCACAGTCACACAGAACAATCACGAAGATTTACGCTGAATCAATCCGCTTTAGGACGCACTGATTTGTTATGCAGCGCAGGCTGCACAGAAAGCTTCATAGAAAGATGAAAAAGACACCACAAGGCACAACCTTGAAAGTAAACACTGCCATACCTAGCCTCGATTCCACCTGAATTACACACCACGTAAAATACCAACCTCTTCCTTACTACTCGGCCCTGAAGTTTTGAAAGGCCAGGCAGGCGCTTTGTGTCCCTTCGGCGCTCTCAGCCTTTCAGACTGAAGCCGGCAGCAGTCTTGCTGGAAGACCAGACCGTGCGTGTGGGAAAAACAGCGCTAGAAACTACAAATTGGATTCTACCCTGCTTTAGCACCTGGCTAAACTTGGGAACTGTGAACAGGGCTACCGTGCTCAGTGTTTAGCCTGGGACCGGGCGCCTGCAGCGGGTAAGGCCGGAGCGCTCTGCCCAGGCAACAGGTTTAGCCTCGGGCCGCCGCGGGGCGAAGAGGACGGCGGCCCTGGGGCTTCCACCGTGCGCCTCGCT